ACAACAACAGCACCAACAGCAACAACCAACGACAACAACCAACAACAATAATAATAAATAATAAATAATAATAATAATAATAATAATACCTCTAAATAGTGTCAGACATCCCAGCCAATCTTGCGCCCGCCTCCAGCTTCGCGTAGCCATGCCCAACTGTCGGTACAGATAGGTCAATGTAGCCGAACCCCAAGAATACTCGCAAATGAGATTGATTTCCTCTAACAGTGGGAAAAAATCTGCTCTGACCTTCGATCCACTCTTATCCACGAACAACAACTTTCCGAGCAAGTATGCAATATATGCTCTTACCCGATACGCGGAAGGAAATGTAGAATTGTCGCCATACTTCACCTCCAAATCATCTAACCGGGGTCCGCCACCATACCACCACTGCTCCATAAGTGCGGGTGCGACCCCGAAAGCTCTCGCACCAAGCTGGATCGCGTCGGCCTTATCCATCCAAACATTAGGGCGAGTTCCACTAACTCGCAAACCCATGATGAAATGCGTCGTGCAGGGTAATTGTCATCTCACCGAATGGCATGTGAAAACTGTTGGTGTCCGGCTGCCACCTCTCAATAAAAGCCTCTATTAGTGGGTTATTGTGCTGAGGCAGCGAACAATCACGCAAGTGATACAAGCCGGTACTCTCCAGTAGTGAGACACAATCATCGTCGTCGGGGCCCGGCCAAGTACACTTCGCGTGCGACCGTAATTTAACCATATGTCGACCCTATTCAAGATATATTCATATATAAGTATACCACAAGCAAGTGTAAATATTATAAACAAAATTTATTAATATTAATAAGTATTACCTTTCCCTCCCAAATGTCGTAGGCAATATGTGCTCCAAAACTTGGAATCAAGTGAGCGTATTTAGGTCCACCGGGTGTCTCACCGGTCAACATCCAAGGTCGAGAAGGAAGTTTTTTTCTCGGAGCGGTGCGGGACCTCGAGACAGGATTAGAACCACCGAAAGTACCACCCATCGGGACAGGAGGCGGAGTCGGAGTCGGAACATCCTCGTAATCGTCATCGGATGGAAATCCGGCACCGGAAACTGATACTTCTGCTGAAAGCGTAGTTGTGGATCGTACTCGTACTCCTGCGGATGCATATA